AGACTAGGCAACACCCCTTGAGACTGGATTAGGTCTCCTGGAAGCAGCTTTGATCTTATAGGATTGGATTAGTGACTGGGAGAGGGGCTTGTTATAAAGCAAACCTGCTCCTTGTACTTTGACCATATCCCCACCGTGAACTGATGAAGCAGTTCACAAAGAGACAAAAAATTGTTAGCATCATGCTCTTGGGCTTCCAGAACTATGATCTATCTGTATAACTATTTCTTTTATGAATCAATCAGTTTAGAGTATTTTGCTATGGCTACACAAAATGGTCTGGATCGATCTATCTATCTATATATATATTTTCACACACACACTCTCAAAACTATTTTCTTCTTAAGACAGGGCTTAAATTTTTTTTGTTTTAGTGACTTGAGGCTTTGTCTGTCCTTACTAACATAAATTGTTCTTCTTCCAGCCATCTACTAGGGGACACTAACCAAGGACTGAGGAATACAGCCCTGGGCTGGCCTCGAACTCACAGTGTAGACCAGAATGGCCTTGAGTTCACAAGGATCCACCTGCTTCTGCCTCCCAGGTTCTGGAATAAAAGGCCTGCACCACCACACCTAGCTAGGATCTAACATTTTAGCATTCTAACTTTACGTGGAAAGCACAGGAGTCTGCCCACTATTTCAAATGCTTTTTTGAAAAGCTATGCCCTCTGGATCATGCCCTGCAAGCTGCCAACTCAACAGAGCTTAGACAGAACAGAAGCTGGATGGTGGGTGGCCTCTTCGAGATCACCCTGGCTGCTGGAGGGGAGGATTTTGCTAAGTAATCTGTCCACCTCTTCTTAGAATCTCTTTCCAATAAGCCCAGAGTAAGAGGGTCTAGAAGTCCCCAGTCCCTAGCACATGACTGGAACAAGATAGCTTATGTCAACAAGGACAGACAAAACCTCAAGTCACTAAAACAAAGATTTTTAAGCATCCATCCACATCCTTAATTCATATAAAGACTAAGATTTCAGTCTTAGCTCCCAGTCTTCCTTGTGTCCACGCTTTGAAATTCAGACAAGTTTTTCTCTGTGGCTGACCAGCCCGTCTCCCAGACTTGGAGTGCTCATGTATGACGCCAGGATGCAGCTCTTCCCAGCTCCCCAGGACAGCTGTGCTCTGCGTTATCCCTGGGAATTTCTTCTGCCCAAACATTCCACCATTAACAGCTCACCAGCCACACTCCAAAAAGCAGGTTCCTGGGGGGCTCTGACATCTCCTCTGCTACCCTGCCGAGACTCACCCTGAAGCCTCCGTGATAAGCTCTCATGTGCCTTCCATCTCAGAGCTGACCCTCTCTCTTGCTGTCAACACTCAGCGCTCAGTCTCAACCGGCAACCAGTGAGCCCCAGCGGTCTGCTCGCTGATCCTAACCAGCACAGTGCCTGGTGTGTAAGCAAAGGAAGGCGTGTGTGAACAACTGAACTACTGACTGCTCTGTAATTGTATAATGTTCTGGACAACTTGACTCAATTTCACAGGAGGCTTTAAACAGCACCCATATTAAAAGAAAAGAAAAACTCAGCTCCTTGGTATTGTCATACATTCCTGATGGATTTTCCTTTTGAAGAAAAGTGGGTGCTTGTCCTCATTATGCCGCTACTTTCTCATGGTCCCCCTCTTTCTGTGCTCTCTCTGTCCCTCTGTCTCTCTCTCTCTGTCTCTCTGTGTTCCTCTGTCTCTCTCCCTCTCTGTGTGTGTCTCTTTCTGCCTCTGTCTCTCTGTCTCTCTCTCCCTCCCTCTCTTTCTCTCTCTCTCTTTGTCTCTCTCCCTCTCTCTCTGTCTCTCTCTGCTTCTGTCTCTCTCTGTCTCTGTCTCTCTCTCTCTCTCTCTCTCTCTCTCTCTCGTAGTGTGTTCGCTCCTTGTTCTGTCTCTGCTGCCATCTCTTTCACATATCCCCTCTCATTTGCTTCTCTCTCCCCCATCTGTCTGTCTCTCCTGCATCTTCACCATTCCTTGGCAGTCCCTATTCTGCCCAGTCTCCATGTGCGCCTGGCATCTTGCAGATGGGATTACATTTTCCTTCCCAGCCATCTGGTGCTGTCTCCTCTGTACTTGGAGGAAGCAGCAGTATTCCATGGTCAAGACTGTGGGCTTTGGAGTTAGATTCATGCCTCTAGGCCTGGCTCATCCTCATAGAAGTCACGTGACTAAGGTCAGGAGATACCACTAATCTCTGTATCTCAGATCTCTTAACACCAAAGTCAGGCACAAAAGCCCCTCTCAGAGGAAGGTTGCAAGTATTAAACGAGATAATGCCTGGAAAATTCTTAACACACTTGTAAAACTATATAAACACTAGCTCCTTGCTAATACAGTCTCTCTCTCTCTCTATCTATCTATCTATCTATCTATCTCTCTCTCTCTCGACTGCTTTTGCACCACCTGTAAAATCATTGACCTCAGGGATGCGTTCTTTGAAGGACATCTAAACCTAATATTTTCCCCACAAAGATCACTCCAGTCTTTCCCCCTTCAAACAGATGGCAATGCAGAGCCCAGTTTTCATGGCCTCAACTATCTTGCTTGTGTGCCTGCCTTAATTCAGGTAGACTTTATCTGGATGAGGTATCCCTGACCTGACCTTCCCGCAGAAAGCACCTGGGCTGTTTTCAGTGCCTGCAAACACCTTGCAGACGATTCTGACTCCGTAGGTCAGGAATAACATCCAGGAACAGGCATTGATCAGATCAATGCTTCCGATTAGAGAACAGAGCTTCAGATGTCTGACTTAAATGGGTGGCAGTGAATGAATCAATCAACAAGTGATAACAGATTAGTAGAGATGAATGACTGAGTCAGAAGAGAGGGAGAGAGGGAGGGAGGGCGGGAGGGAGGGAGGGGGGAAGGAGGGAGGAAGGGAGGGAAGGACGGAGGGAGGGATGAGCAGATGGACAGAGAGTAGACAGTTGCTGTCATTTCCCCCAGATATACCTGTGCTCTCTAAAATGTGTGGCCGTTTGTTTTGTGACTTTTAGAGCATGAGGCTTAGCTCTGCCCTTACCTTTCCCAGCCCCCCTCTTTTCACTTTCCTGGCGCCTGTTTCTCCACCTCCTTTCAGCCCCATTTTTTTCTCCCTCTTTGGCTTCCACTGATCTGCCCTCCCCACCATGTGCCCCCTCTCACAGCTACTGAGCATTTACAAATGAGGAGCCTTTGGACACACCAGCGACACAACACAGTTTTATTTGATGAACCACAGTGGCTAACAAGATCAGAACAGAGCACATTCTGAAGAAGGGTGGAGGTAGGGGAAAGAGGCAGCCTCCGCTGCTATCTGTCCCGTGCCATGGTTGAGTTTCCTGCCTGCCCTGCGCCTGTCCTGGCTGCTCTGAGGGTGGCCCTGGCCAGAGAAAGTGGCTGTGTGAAAGTTTCTGGCCTGAGGCGTGCAGATACTTCGCTGAGAGGAGCTGTTTTCTCCCCCACTCCAACCCCCAGCCTCCTGCTCCAGGAGTAGGATCTGTGCTAGAGATGGTCCACCTGCATCAAGCCAGGCTCTTCCTGTTTCCGTGGCACATGTCTTCTCCTTCGTTTCCAGAGCCCTCCAAGAACAAAACCCGGAATACACACACCCATTTCCAGCGCACAAAGGCCCCACTATGAATCTTGTCCTTGAGACGTGGGGGTCTGCTACTCCACTCAATCTTCACCCACCTTACCCTCCCCCATTCCACAGGATAGCCAAGAGGCTTGGTCCTGTTAGGAAGGAGAACAAAAGCTCACCCTGTATCTTTCATCCTGTGGCAAGAAAGTGTCCTCCTTAGAAAGAGGACCACATACCCTGAAGAAAGTGAGAGTAGCAAGGAATAACTCGAAAGCTGTGCTCTAGTCTCTAAGTCTCTTCTTCCCACTGTGGAACTGGGGAGGAACTAGGGCCAAGCTCTGGGCTTCTCCAGCCTTAGCACCAGATGCGACTGAGGAAATAGCTCCCTACCGAAGAAAGCCTAGCACAAACACAGACTTCATTCCTAAATACGGACCAGCCGTCAGAGTTCCCCAAATCCAGTGGGGGTAGACTCATACCTAGTCTACATTTCCTCCCTATGTCCATTCTTCCCCAAGTGGACTGCAAGACCTGCAGAGATGCAGGGGAAAGTGGGTGAGAGTTCATCTAAGTTTATATGATGTGTGTGTGTGTATGTGTGTGTGTGCATACACACTCATTTATATATGCCCACATAGACAAAAAGCAAACAGCCTTACTCAACCAAATGATTCTTGGGGCCAAGTAGCACCAACACCTATGGAAAACGTCCAAGAGATGATGGCATGAGGAAGGAGCCAGGAGAAAGATCTCCTCTACTGTTCACAGTTCTGTAGGAGATGGGTGGGTGAGGATGGGGGAGGGGAGCCAAGCAGCAAACAGACTAAATACAGATTTCCCTCCAACTCTCCTTTCTCTGTGTTTCCCCTTCCCAGCTCCCATTCCCGGGAACGGGATTGTCCACAGCTTCCTAGGTGCTGTGGCCTTGTAATTCTCACAGTCAGTTATAAACAAGCAGGAAAGGACACTGGCTTGTTGGTAGGATACATTATCTACTAAGCAACACAGAGATTCTGCCAAAGAGAAATCTCTATTCAAAAGTCAGTCTAGCCCCGGTGTCTGGACCAACAGCGAACTCATCCAACTTTTGGAACAATCCAGAACTCCTGGCTCTGGGGACTGAAGCATTAATTCTTTGCCTACCCACAACCCGCCCTGCCCTGCTGGCTCTCAAAACAAAACAAAAAACAAAAACAAACAAACAAAAAAAAAACCATAAGAACTCAAAGGGTTATCCTTCATGCTTCAGCGTTTTTAACCCTTAGGAGTCCAGCAGGAGAGGAGGTGTGGGGGTATAGGCAGGTGAAGGACAGACTGAGGGAGGAGGAATCCGCTAGAGAGAGCGGGTAATTAAACAGTGAAAGTTTCTACAGCACAGAAAACAAAAAGGGAAGAGAGGGGAAAGGGGGGCTACAGGGCTGAGGAAAGAGCAGAAACACATTTAGTCAAAATTCATACTTCAACGTTTTAGGGTCCATATAACTTTCCCCCATTTAATACAAACAAACAAAAAAACTGAGTCTTAGAGAGGACGGAAGACTTGTGCGAGCCTTGGGAATACTGATCAGCTGAGCAAGAGTCTGTTTGCAAGGCTCCATCTCTTCCTTCTAAACCACAAACATCTGAGGAAAAAGTCGGCAAGACAAGAGCTTGGAGCCGGGAAGCAGGGAATGGAGCCAGGGGTCAGTCAGGGAGAAGGTGCAACCATGCTACCTGGTTCTCAGAGCGTGAGGGTAACGTTTGGGTCAGACCCAAGGCAGCAGACTTCTCTCTGGCCCCAGCCCTAGTCCACCAGGGTCTCTTGACTATAGGGAATGGATTTCTCATGCATCTGCTCTCCTCCCTTTCCCATGTTGGGGCCAGGGCCCTGGCTGTGCCCGGAAGAATAACTGGCTGACTTCTCCCCGCTGCTGCTGTGAGGGCTGCCTTTGCACCTGCTCTGGTCGCAGCAAAGCATAGACGTGCAGGCTTGGCGGAACCGAGGGTCAAAAAAGGCGTAGAGAAAGGGGTTGAGGCAGCTGTTGACGTAGCTGATGCAGGTGCAATAGGGAAAGACGTTCATGAGGAAGCTGTCAAAGTCACAGGGCCAGTGCAGCAAATTCCCCAGCATGTAGAGCGTCTTCACCAGGTGGTAAGGCATCCAGCACAGGGCGAAGGTCACCACCAACACCACGATGATGGTGAGCAGCCGGCGTCGCTTCCGCAGGCCCTCAATGCGCTCCTTCCGGAAATGGCCCGCAATGGTTTGGGCAATGAAGAAGTAACATGTCAGCATGATGGTAAAGGGTACCACGAAGCCGACAGCCGTGGAGGACACCCCCAGGCCCACCTCCCAGGCCCACTCTGAGCTTGGGGTAGTCACCATGGAGTAGTCCATGTAACACTGGACCTTGGTGCCGTTTTCTGTACTAGCAGTGGAACGGAACACCATTACAGGCACGGCCAGAAGGGCAGCCAGCACCCACAGCACGGCTGTGGCCACAGCCCCGCTGACCCTCAGCCTAAGCCGAGCGTTGGCCACTGGTCTGACTATAGCCAGGTATCGGTCAAAGCTGAGGCCGGTGAGGCAGAAGACACTGGCGTACATGTTGACGAAGATGAGGTAGCTGCTGAGCTTGCAAGAGAAGGTTCCAAAGGGCCAATCAAACTCCCGGTAGGTATAGGTGGCCCACAGGGGCAAAGTCACCACGAAGGTCAGATCGGCCACTGCCAGGCTGGCAATGAAGATGTCAGCTGAGCGTCTCTTTTCCCGGCTGCTCCGAAACACGGTCCAGAGCACCAGGCCGTTGCCCGTGGTGCCTAGAAGGAAGACCAGAAGGTAGATGGCAGGGATGAGGGCCCCAGAGGACTTCCAGTCTTCGTACTCACATTCCGACTGGTTGTCGGCCGCATAGTAGTAATTATCATCTTCCATATTGATGAATGCGGCGAAGGTGGGCGTGAGTCCCAGGGGCACCAGCTCCGGAGCTACAGCACCCACTCAGCTAGTGCCCTCAAGGCAAGAGAAGGTCTGAGGGTGCCCTTGCCGGCATGCAGACCGAGCTCCTCTGAAAGCTCAGACCCAGCAGGATGTGCTCCTCAGCAGCCTCTCTCTACCTTCCCGGTCCCACCCCAGCTCAGCTAAGACACTTCCTTGCACCCTCCTGAGTCTCTGCCTAAACTCCGAACTCCCTCCTCCCACCCCCAGGCCAAGCCCTCCCTCTCTAGAGAGTCTTAAGATCTTTAAGTTACAGCCCACTTTTTTTTTCTTCTTGTCACTGGATAAGTAGACTAAATTGACCCCTACTGTGCTGGGCTGACAATTATCTGAGCTTTGCAAGCCTGTTGCTCCTCCTGGCCCCACCTCCTCTCTTGCTGCCACCAGCCTGCACCTCAGACTCTTTCCTCTCCTTTTCTCTGGCCCCCACCTCATGCCTGCTTCCAGGGTCTCTATCCTCAGCTCAGTCTTCACCCTCCTATTCTCACCTTCTCCCAACCCTCCTAACTGGGACAAATTATGCAGATTGAAACCCAGTTTGACCTGAATCCGGGGCAAGTATGGGGCAGAGAGGGTGTGATATTTCACAAGGCTGTTCCAGCATCTGGACAGTCCCTGCAGACCCTGCTGACTCCCACCCCACCCCCACCCCGCTGGGAATCAGCACGCCTTTGCTCCAGCCCTCTTTTTCAGAACTTTGGTATTTTGCACTCAAAATCATAGTGAAATTTCTCCACAGTTCATAAATGGCTGGTGGACCACAGTTTGCAGTTTGCAAATGGGAGGTGATAGAAAGTTGGTGACAGGGTCACAAGTGGAAAGAAACAGGGACAAAGTGACGGCTAGTCAAGCCTTTAAAATCTATGGGGAAGCCCAGGCTTAAGGTGAGTGTCTTACCACAAGTCATGGGATAAACTGTGTTGTGGTTGGTCGTTTACTTCTTCTTCTTCTCTAAGCACATAGGGAACACAGTTCTGGCAAGTCATCAGGAATCTCTGATTATTGGCTGACTAAGCAAACGGACTCATTAGGAAAGGAGTAAGAAGAAGAGAGGAGTAAATGTCGGGATTACTACGTGTTAAGATCGCGAACCCAGCTCAGTGCTCAGGTTCTCACCAATATCCTTGGGCCAGGAGGTTTGGTAAGACCACAGAGGGTCAGGAAGTTGAGTTAGAGGAGGACGCAGAAAAAGAAAACAGCCCCTGAGCAGATGTTGTAGTGCACACCACCCCCCCACCCCCCCTGACTCATCTGGCTTTTTCTCCAGGATCTTCAGGAAGAGGGAGGATGCACAAGATAAGATGTTTTTCAAAAAGCATCCTTTTCACCTCAACCCCCAAGAGTGAGGGAAGCTACCTGAATGTGGCCAGGAAGATTACAGGCTTAGCTTAATAAGGAGAGTGTGAGGCCCTGGGTTCCCTTCCTCCCCATACTGGGGGTGGGGGTGAAGACAGGAAAGGAGAAGAGGGGAGGGAGAGAGAAGATATAGGAGAGAGGGAGGAGAAAGTTGAACTAGAATGAAATGGGCCCAAACTTGGTAAGTCTTAGCCATCCATGGTGAAGGACTTACAAAGCTGACAGTTGCTTTCTGGAAGGAGGGTTTGTCAGTAAACATCCCACAAGGATCTTCAAGTTGAGACCCCAAATTCAGACACCCGCATGAACAAGCTAAGCATGTATTTGGACAAAGTCTGTGACAAACTGGAGTTAGACTGTGACAAACTGGAGTTTATCCATCAGAGGAAACTGGCCAGGCAATGCACATGCCTGCTGCAGTTTCAGCCACTTTAGAGGCTGAGGCAGGTGGATCACCTGTATCCAAAGTTCAGGGACAACCTGGGCAACACAATGAGACTTTGTCTCAAATAAAATAATAAGACAAGAGATCTCCTCAGTTCTGGTCTCTGGTCCCTGCAGGAATATGAATAGTGTCAACCAAACCTCAAGGTTTTTCAAGACCAAATCTTATTCTAAATGTTTATCAGAAATTTCCAGATTTATTGTCAAAGGGAATTAATTCCATTTTTTAAAAAAGGTAGACTAGGTGCTGGGCATGGTGTTACATGCCTCTAATCCCAGCACTTGAGAAGCAGAAACTGAAGATACATTAGTTCAAGTCCATTAACATCCATCTGAAACATAAAAAGAGCTATAAAGCAGATCCTAGCATCTCCAGTTGGTAGGTTTGGAGGAGCTTCCTGAGATTGGAAGGTAGAAGAAACACTGAAGATCCACAGACAGGAAGCCAGAACAAACAATACAAAGAAAGAAACAAATAAAAACAACCATGGTCTTAGAATGCAATGGGGAAACAGGAAAGATGAACGGAGAGAAAGATAAGAAAAGTTTTAGGGGCCTCCCCTGACCTTTAGTTACGAGCAGCCGTAATTACAGCCCTGTCTGGCTCTCGTGGGCACTATACATTGTCCACATTCTGAGTGCCGGGCATTCTTCTAGGTTTTATTGTCTCTTTCAGTCATCAAAACAGTGTGAGGAGTAGGCTGGGGAGACTGCCTGGAGGGCTGAGTTCGTAACCCCAGCAATCCCCAGCATACCCATAAAAACAGGAAAGACAGCAGGCATCTGTGATTTAGTGCTAGGTGGAACAGAGACAGAGAGATTCTGGGACCTCGCTAGTCAACCAGTCTAGCCAAAGCAGTTGGGTCTAAGTTCAATAACAGACTGTAATCAAAAAACAAAGTGGAGAAACTATTGGGAAAACCAACCCAACATCAAACTCTGGCCTCCGTATGCACAGATGAGCACACAGGCACACACACATCCGCACACGTGCAAACACACACTCACACAAACCTTAGGAAATATATGCTCTTAACTTGTTCGCTCAACCACTACAGCAAGGCCTTCAACCCTTTTAGAACGGGAATTGTTGCATGGTAAGCGTCATGGAGACACAGAGGATGCCAGGGTGACTGTAATTTACGTATTGGCCATGGCCAGAGAGAACACCTGGTTGGCTGTGCTAACTGAAGAGCTAACAGGACTCTGCCTCTCGAGCCTTGACTCCCACAGAATAGGAGTCATCTCACTCAGTTTTACCTGGCTCTGTGGATTCATCAACCTCACAGTACGCAAGCCCACTCACTTCGTCTAAACAGGTGGCAGAACGGCTGTGCAGTGGCATAGAAATAGTTAACCTTCAGCCACTTCAGATCCATTCGCCTGTAGGGAAGGACCTAAAGGTGGTGCAGGGTCTTCTCTGGTCAGATCAGGATAGAAAGTAGACTCCTGATGTAGCCATTCTAGGATAAAGACCGAATCTGACAGCACTATCCGCCACACACATATTTTCTTTTTGGTTCCAGAAAGATCCAGAAGCAGTCCTGGGCAACTGAGGACACAGAGGGAGGGAAGCAGAGAGGCATGTGATACCCTTGAAATCAACTCCTTGTCTATCTTTCCCAGCTGTCCCCACTTGGATCCCAAGCCAGATGCAAACCCAGAGTTCTCCATGGAGAGAAATGGATGCATTTCTTTAATTCTCTTACTTAGCTGAAAACGAAGGGAATTGGGAGCCAGAAAGGACGAGGCAGAGACTAATGATCTGTGCCTGGAGTGGCGGGGTGCTGATAAAACACAGCCTACAGCCAGCTGGAGCCAGCTGGAGCCAGGTGGCCTAAGTGATCCCAACACTGATGGTCAGGCTCACTCCTCACCCAGCTTGGAGCTGATCCATGCCTGTCTCCCCCTACACTAGGCATTATAGAAGATGCAAGACTAGTACTCAGAATTGAGGGTGAAGGCTAGTCTTGTGTGCTCCAGGACTCAGAGGCTCCCCATAAATTGCACATACCCCAGGCCTGGGATGGTTAGCTGTCTGTCATCCGACTTCTCTGCTTAGCCGCTAATTAGTGTCTGCTGCATGAAAGCACTAGGGATGTGTTAGAGGGTTGATAAGAAGTGAAGTCTTTACCCCAGGGTCATTCTACCAGAACAGCAAGGGCAACTTTTTGCAAAGCTGCTCCCAAATAATCTACTGGCAGCCAGAAACTAAGACAGGGTTGTTGGCCAGAGGCCCCAGAACTTACTATCCCGGGAGAGAAAGGAGCAGGTATCCTAGAAGATTCCTCTCTCCTGGGTGATTTTTGCCAGGCACTGTGACAAGCCAGAGAGAAATACCTCCTGGCACAAAAGCGCCTTGGACCTGTTCCACGCTCTTTGAGAAGAGCAAACTCTGCTGGGAGGGTGAGAATTCTAGAGTCAGGGGGTTCAGAAGTCCTCCCCAACCTTGCCCACAGGCTGGCCCCTGACATAGGAGAGAGACAGCCTTGCACTGTGATGAACAGTGTCACGTGAATGGTAAGGCGCGAGTTTTATACATGATGAGGCCACGTAGACTTGAAGTCTGGGGTGCGAGAAAACAGAATGCAGATATGAACGGCACTCAGTGTATACATTCACATGTCCACAGGCTTCCTTGCATGTGCAGTAGGCACATACATCACCATATGTAGGGGAATGTGATTTCGTGTATATGGTGGGGTAGGAATGTGCACCGGGCACACGCTTCTGGGTACAGAAGTTGCTTGTGTGTATGCAGCGGGTTTGTGTGTGCACTGGATTCACACACAAACTTGTCATCAGATCGGGAATCTAGATAAACATCCTGGCTACAAGACAGGAAAGGGTGCTTAATTGGCTCTCTCTAGCACTTTGAGCTGAGGAGGAAACCTGAAGCCATCTGCTGGGACCCCACCCAGACCTGGCTCGGGTTCTGTTCTGGGACATCAAAGTGGAAGCCTAGCCCTTCTCTGCCCCTTGCTGACTTCTCACCCCCTCCCTCCCAGCTCTCTGCTCCAGTCTCTGACTTCACAGGTCTGCTTTGAACTCCACAGCTTGGGAACTCACCCAGGGCAACAGGGCCCTTTCTCTCTCTCTCTCCTCCCCAAGAGGCAGCCACAGCTGTGTCCCTAACAGCTGGCTTGTTGTCAGAAGGGAGCAGGGGGTCAGACCTAGCTTAAACTTGACTACCCACCTCAGTTCAGTATTGCACTGTTATTGCCTTCAGCAGCACTACAGTCCCACCCTGGCCTGCCTTATCTGGCCAAAGCCAAATGGTCAACTGCAGCAATTAAAGCCAATCTCCCCACCTCCCCACCCCAC